GTATGAGCGAGTCAGGTGGACAGGAGTGCACGTGGGCGGGTCAGTTGGACAGGAGTGCGTGTGGGCGGGTCAGGTGGGCAGGCGTGCGTATGGGCGGGTCATGTGGACAGGCGTGCACGTGGGCGGGTCAGGTGGACAGGCTTGTGTATGGCCGGATCAGGTGGACAGGCGTGTATATGGGTGCATGTGTGTCCACAGGTGCTACTTTATTTCTTTCTGTGTTCAACACGTGTTCATGGAAGTGCTCCAGGCCCAAGGCGAAGGAATAGGATGTAGTAGGGGCAGGCTCTCTGCCCCACACTGAGTCCTTGGGCTCCGGAGAGACACACAGATAAGTGGTTACGTGGATGCCTGGGAGCCATGAGCACACACAGACCCACCTGGGCCCAGGATAAGGGCCAGGGAAGACTTCCTGGGAGTCCAAGTGGAAGCTGCAGGGTGAGTAGGAGGAGGGAGGGTGGGTGTCAATGTTTTAGGAGTCAGGGGTGCACAGAGTCCAAAGCAGGTACTCTGAGCATGGGATGGATACTCTGGGGATCGCTCAAGCCGCCTGAGCATAGAGCTTATGGAGATGAGCATAGAGCTTATGGGAGGAGTAAAACCAACTTTAAATTCCCACAGCTCTGCTGGGACTACTGGGTCCAACCATAAGACAGTGACAGATAGCAGACTTACCTTTCTGCCATAAACAACTAGAAAACTAGACAAATTATATGAAGCAACTGTTTTTAAGCATAGGTGCCATGGCAGGGCTGTGACCGTAGAGGACACACATGCGGGAGTTCCAGCTTCACCCTGGCTCTCTGCCCAGAGGTCGTTGGGGCGTTTTCTGATCACAGCACAGGGAAGTAGAGCTCGGAGAGTGGTGGCGGCATGGGCCAGAGCAGGCAGAGACTGGAGTTTAGGGCCACCGAGGTGGCTGGAACGTGTGGGGTTCCAGAGAGGAGAGGGTTGAGCAGGGAAGGAACTTTCAGACATTTGCAGAGGAGCTCTGTTGAGTGTTTGAGTGAATACTAAACTGCAGTGCACAGGATGAGACTGCAAAGTCTGGCAGATGAGAGCTGCTGGGAGCTGGGAGCTGAAGGGGGTGCCGGAGGATACACGGGCACAGAGACCTTGGAGTTCTGGGCAGCCAGAGTGAAGAGACCACACCAAACATGCCAGGCATTCAGCTGAGACCTCAGAAAAACCACCCTTTTTAAAAAAGTTAGATTTATTCAGGTACCATTTACATACAGTGAAATTCTCCATTTTTAGGTGTACAACTCTATGACACATGCATACAGTCATGTAATCACCACCACAGGCAAGACAGAAAGCATTTCTACTGCCCAAATGTTCCCTGTGCCCTTTGGTCATCCTCTCCTCCCTCCACTCCAGGCCCCGGTAACCACTGCCCTGATTTCCGTCCTTTTGAAAAGCACATGCCTTAGGTGTCCTACGCTAACCCTGGGGGAAGGGCTGGTCTAGAGTTGTCCTAACAAGCCCACAAACAAGCCTTGAGAGGACAACACATCTACCAACAATTTAGTTGCCAAAACAAAATTCACTAATCTTTGAAAGAAAACAACAAAATCTAGATACCCAACAATGTCATATCATAATGTCCAGCATCCAATAAAAAATTATTAGACATGTAATAAAGCAAGAAAATTTGAGTCATAACTGGAGAAAAACTAGTCCATAAGAAGTCCTGTTGAAGCCGGGCATGGTGGCTCACCCTTGTAATCCCAGCACTTTGGGAGGCCGAGGTGGGTGGATCACCTGATGTTAGGAGTTCGAGAACAGCCTGGCCAACATGGTAAAACCCTATCTCTACTAAAAACACAAAAATTACCCAGGCATGGTGGTGTATGCCTATAATCCCAGCTACTCGGGAGGCTGAGGCACGAGAATCGCTTGAACCAGGGAGGCGGAGGTTGCAGTGAGCTGAGATTGTGCCACTGCACTCCAGCCTGGGAGACAGAGTGACACTCCTTCTCAAAAAAAGAAGCCCTGTTGAATTCATGGGGCAAAGACAAGGTGTCTTTTGTCATTGAGTATTTTCCACTGATAGATGGTAGAGCTACCATGAAAAAATATTAACGTTAAAAGGAGTCTTCAAAAGCAAAAGAGAAGCACGGGTGTAGGAGCCAGCCAGAACCCAAGTGCATCTAGATGGCCAATAGGTGCACAGTGTGGGCAGGCCTGGAGTTAAACACTAGGACCAGACATGTGCACAGTCATATCACTAAGGGGTTCAGCCTGGGTGAAGACACAGACATATGAGCACAGCACAGAGGGTAGATGCCACAAGAGAGACACAAATGTCCCAGGCATCAAAGAGTGACAGATCATTTCTGCCTAGAGGAACTGTAAAAGACTTCATGAAGGAAATTTTTTTTGAGATAGTCTCACTCTGCCACTCAGGCTGGAGTGTAGTGGTGCAATCTTGGCTCGCTACAACCTCCACCTCCCGGGTTCAAGCAATTCTCCTGCTTAGCCTCCCAAGTAGTTGGGACTAAAGGCATGTGCCATCACACCTGACTAATTTTTGTATTTTTAGTAGAGACAAGGTTTTACCATGTTGGCCAGGCTGGTCTCAAACTCCTGACCTCAGGTGATCTGCCTGCCTCGACCTCCCAAAGTGCTGGGATTACAGGCATGAGCCACTGCACCTGGCCAGCAAATTTATTTTGCACTGGGCTTTTAAAGATGATTGAGAAATAAAGAAAATAATTTTAAAATCACCGTTAAAGTCATTTATTACCCATATGTGATCACTGATGGTGTTCTGGTAAATTCCTTCTGTCTGAATTATCTTATGTTTTCCCAAGTGGAGCTCCATCTCCTTAATTCTGTTTTGCATTTTTCAGTTAACGTTATTTCAAAAAGCATTTTCTGAAAATTCTTTGTAGCAGCTATTTTTAACAGCTGTGAAATATTAACTGTCTGTGACATAATCCAAGTAACTGATTCTCTCTGTTGTTGGGCATTTAGATTATTTTCAAGTTCTAACTAATCCTGCAACAAGCCTCTTGTTCTCCCCTGTTCTGGTTACTCTCTTAAATTGGATTCCCAGAAATGGGATAATTGTTTCCAAACGTATTTGGGAACACCTGGGAAGTTCCTGATCTGTATTGCCAAATGACTTTTCTAGAAAAGTGGAGTGTACAAATTTACACTCCCACTACACGTACTCTCTTATGTTGTAATACATGTTTACATCTTTTTTCCCCACAAATTACGCCCTATCCACCTTCCTGTCCCCGGTGCCTGCACAGGCAGCTGCCCAGCGGCGTCCCTTTCATCACACATACCCATACTTGCACCATACGTGACCGTACTTTCACGGAGAAGGAATATCCAGGGTCAGGGGGAACATCCCTGACAGACACTCCAGGAACCAAGACGTGGACAAGTGTGGATGGACACGTGGGTCTCTGGACTCTTTCTAGAACACCTGGCGTGGAGATGAGATGGCCGTCAGAGACTCGTCTGTTCTGCTTTCTCGCTTGGTGGCTGAGACCCTGAGATCTAGGTGGGGCAAGTGGGTTCCACACGGCACAGTTCGTCCACGTCAGCGCAGTGCCTGCTTCTCGGGGTATAGCCAAGCCGGGGTCTTGCAGCCTCAGCTCCCAGCAGGACCTGCCCAGCCAGGGTCCTCAACCCTAGGCTGACATCTTGGCCTCACTGGAGTCACAGCTCAGCCCTCACCCTGTGACTCTGTGCATGTGAGGGGTGGGAGATAAGAGCTGGAGGCCAGACCTCCTAAGAGGAAGGAAAACAATGTGAATGTCGGGGAGGCAGATAAAAACTCTCACTTTTATTCAGTGAGAGTTTCCTCTTCTCACAATGCAGGGAGGACCTCAATATGGCTGTCTCCCCTTTTAGAGACGCTGTGTCCCAGCGAAGGGGCAGCCAGAGCAGGAATTCTCAACCTTCCAGGACAACGGGTGGCCACTGAGAAGCCGGGAGACCAGGGCCAGTGTCTCAGGCTTTCCTCAGCTGCTCTACCTGCAAACTGGAGCTGGCAGGACCGCCTCTCGAGGCTGCTGTGAGCGTCCAGTTAGACCACGTGGGTGGGCGAGGGGCTTGTGCCTTGCCCCAAGCAGGGAGCTCAATGCACACCTTTATATAGGACATATTCAAGGAGGCCAAGCTCACCAGGCCACACTGCAAGGCCTATTTTTTGGGGGGCGGGGGCGGGCGGGTTGGGGGACAGGGTCTCACTCTGTCACTCAAGCTGGAGTGCACTTACAGCCCCAACTTCCTGGGCTCAAGCAATCCTCCCACCTCCCAAGTAGCTGGGACTGTAGGCGTGCTCCACCATGCTTGGCTAATTTTTTAAATTTTTGTAGAGACAGGCTGTCATCGCTATGTTCCCCAGGCTGGTCTCAAACTCCTGGCCTCCAGTGGTCCCCCAACCTTGGCCTCCTTAAATCCTGGGATTCCAGGGATGAGCCACCCCACCCAGCTGGAAGACTGTTGCCTTGATGGCCCCCAGTGAATCCTCTGCTATTGATGATCTTCTGTAGTCCCCCCTCACCAAATCTGGACAGGCCTTGAGACCCGTTTGGCAGATAGAGTGTAGGGGAGCCTGGCAGCTTCCTGGTCTCTGGGAAGCTGCCCCGTTGTGGGGAGGTCAGGCCATCCTACGGGAGGGAAAAGCCACACACACAGCTGCAAGAGTGACCTTCCTCAATACCACATGGAGCAGAAGAACCACCCAGTGACACGCAGACTCGTGAGGAGGAATCAATCACCCTCATCTTAAGGTACTGAGGTTTTTTTTTTTGAGTCTCACTCTGCCGCCCAGGCTGGAATGCAGCGGCACAATCTCGGCTCACTGCAACCTCTGCCTTCTGGGTTCAAGCCCTTCTCTTGCCTCAGCCTCCTGAGTAGCTGGGATTACAGGCACCCACCACCATGCCCGGCTAATTTTTGTATTTTTAGTAGAGACGGGGTTTCACCATTTGGCCAGGCTGGTCTTGAACTCCTGACCTCAGGCCATCCACCCGCCTCAGCCTCCCAAAGTGCTGGGGTTATAGGCATGAGCCACCGCTCCTGGCTAAGCCACTAAGTTTTGAGGTGGGCTGCTACTTAGTAATAGATACCTGAACCTCCTTCCTCCCCATCCCAGCCTTCTCCTCTGGGACTACTCCTGTGGTGTGCTGGTAAATGTTTAACAAGCAGCTCTCTGCAGGGGACTGAGGGGAGCTAATGTGAAGCGTTTGTCAACATCTGTGGTGTAAATATTCTCATGGCTGATTTCAAGCTGCCAACATGACATGGCTGAACACGAGATTGAGAAGAAACGTGCACCATCTGTCCAGGAGCCGGCGAGCTGGATCCAGCACACCTGCGTTCTCCTCCCCTGACACGTGACAACCCTGCAGAGATCTGAGATCAGCAGCTCAGATTAGGTGAGCAGATGCATTTTGTCACAGAGACACAGAGTTCTGGGCTGGGCCTTATCTTCAGGGCATCTGGTAGGATGGAAAGGACTTCAAGCCGTGTGCCAAGCCCATGTCCTAGTCTCTGGGCCTGTTCCTTTCCCTTGAAGTGCTGGAGGCAGAGCTCGAGGCTGAAGAGCTACAGCCGGCTCTCCCTCATGTCTGGGCATGAGCGGTCTGTGGAGGCAGCAGCCAGGCTGTGTCCAGGTAGCCCTGACGGCCACTGCGCATGAGCAGTGTCAGGTAGAGGGAGTTCTGAGCACCCATCTGCTCAGCCCCAGGCTCCATCAGAGGCGGTGGAATGGGCCCTGAGGACGCCGCAGTCCCGGGCCTTAGGGGCAGGCCTTCCAGGTGAAGCCCTGAGGACCAGGTAGCCCTGCTCAGCAGTCCCGGACCCCACCTCAGCAGTCCCAGACCCCACCTCAGCAGCCCCAGGAAGCCAAGGAGATGAGGGACCAACTCAGGAAATGGTGGGTGAGGCTGGTGGAGCCTGGAAACGCCGGTCACCAGGGCGGCAGCACCGGTCCTCACCCCTCCCTGCCAGGACTCCAGCAGCTCTCAGCCCCTAGGCATGATAGTTAGTTTCTTGGGTCAACCAAATAGTCATTTAGGGGTTGCTGTGAAGGTGTTCTGTCGGTGTATCACATCTGCAGTCAGCTGACTGGAGTGAAAGGCCATTACTCTCAATCATGTGGCGGGGATGCGGGTGGGAAGCCTTGTGCAACCAGTGACGTACCTTACAAGCAGAGCTGGGGTTTCCCTGAGGACAAAGAGATTTTGCCTGTGGACTATAGCATCACCTGCTGCCCGAGAGGCCCAGGTGCCGCCTGCGCTATGGATTTCCGCCTTGCTCAGCCAGCCCCCACCTTGTCTGAGCCAATTTTTAACAATAAATCTCTCCCTCCCTCCCTCCCTTCCTTTCTCTGTCTCGTCCCCTCCAGGTATATGTAATATCTCTTATGTGTCTCATAAAGAGAGAGATTTATTGCAAGGAATTGGCTATACAACACACGTACATGCATATCCACGTGTAAACATGTGCACACACACACCACACACACACACACACACCACACCCCTATCCTGCAGGTTCCTTTCTCTGCTGGGACCCTGCCTGCTCCACCAGGGGTGCTGGGCCCCTGTGTCACCAGTGGAGCTCTCAGCAGCACAAGGCCCCAGGCATAGCCCCTCAGCTCCCTGCCCTCGACCGTGGCTTCAGGGGTGGAGCAGGACCTCAGGGGTGCAAAGACCAGCTCCACGGTTCCTATGGGGTGTGTTGTGGGAACACTTATCTTCATGAACATGTGAACCGTGGCCCCAGTCCTTTCTGTTTCCTTGGGCGAGGCCTTGGTTTCTGGAGCCCAGAGTGGGAAAGTTCCCGGACCTCCTGTGCAGGCTGCCCCACCTGGCTCTCTCTGGCTGTGGGTCCAGGGCCTCCATCCTGAGTCGGGGCAGGGAGCCTTGAGACTTGGGGAGGAAAGGGGAGATGCTGGGAGCTGGGAGAGCGTGCACCCCCAAAACCAGGGGCCTGTGGGCTGTGGCCCAGGAGGAAGGGCAGAGGGCTCGGGAGGGCTGGAACGGTCCTGCAGCAGAGTCATGGTGACACCAACTGGCTGGTTTGGGGGCAGATAGACAGACCACAGGGGTGAAGTGGCAGAAAGGGTACCCTTTCCGCCTGGACATCTTGGCAGATGCTGAGAGGGTGTGGCTTTGAATTTCAAGAGCCCTGATGGTGAGACCCCAGCAAAGGTCTCGTGGGGATTGGGGCTCTAAGGCTTAGACACTCAGGCTTCTACAGACTTTGTGATCTGGGTTGCCTGGTTCCAGGGTCCCCCACCACGAAAGGGAGGGCTCTTGCAGGACTGGCTTTGTCCCTGGGTATCGAGACACAGGGTCTGGAAGAGGACCTCAGAGCCAGGCACTCGGTGTAGTCACAGTGTGGGGATTCTGCTGCTGTTGCTCTACTCTCAAAAATTCATTTTATTGTAGTTCTGATCCCAGGCTGCTGTTGGGCAGTGAGCAAATGGCACTGGATTCAGAGTCGGACAAACCTGGGTTCGAGTCCAATCCGCCTCTCAAGCTGTGTGGTCTTTAGCAAGTCACTTCTTCCCCTTGGGCCTCAGTTTGCTCATTTGCCATCTCACCCTTCACAGCATTGATGTTTGGATTAATGGGATGAGGCAGGTGAAAGCACTGTAAATGGCACCCAGGCATTTGGAGCTTTCATGGGACAGTTGAAATGCAGGTGAAATGGAAGTCAGTGTCCTGTTGTCCTCCGACCTGACGTTATTAAAGAGAATTGGGCTGGATGCAGTGGCTCATGGCTATAATCCCAGCACTTTGGGAGGCCGAGGTGGGCAGATGACTTGAGGTCAGGAGTTTGAGACCAGCCCGGCCAACGTGGTGAAACCCCGTCTCTACCACAAATAAAAAATTAGTCGGATGTGATGGGTGCATGCCTGTAATCCCAGCTACTCAGAGGTGGAGGCAGGAGAATCCCTTGAACCCGGGAGGTGGAGGTTGCAGTGAGCTGAGAATGAGCCACTGCACTCTAGATTGGGTGACAGAGCAAGACCCTGTCTTCAAAAAAATAAAAAAAATTTTTAAAAGAGAGAGAATTGACATGTATGTGCACGCACATGCGCTTCAGTGCATGCATAAACATGACAGGTGGGTCACAGGAACACATATGGGCTGGCTTTGACATTTGCCATTAAAAACATGATCCTGATAAACAACCCAACAAAAGCAAACTGGCAAAAGAATCCATCAGACACCTCACAAAGGAAGATACTGTATACAGAAGGCCAAAATCAGCATGCGAAAAGCGTTCCACTTTATTAATCGTCAGGGAAATACAAATGAAACCCACAATCATAAGCCACTTGGGCCCCCCGGGACAGTGAAAATGACAGCCTGGTGCAGCAACGTCACGTGCTGGTGAGGAGTGGGGCAGCCGAGGCTCTTGCACGCTGCCATTGGGAGTGCAAGATGGTGGAGCTGCTGTGAAACACCAGTTTGGCGGCTTCTTCTAAAATTAAGAATGGCCCAGCAATTCCGCGCCTATGTTTTACCCAAGACAAATGAAAGCGTATGTCCACACAAAGAGTTGAACATGAATCTTCATGGCAGCTTTACTCCCAAACATCAAAAACCGGAAGCAAGCCAAGTGTGCACAAACAGATGAATGGATAAACAAAGGCAGCATCAGGCAGGCCACAATGTGGTTGGCGCATGGGCCCATGGGAGTGTTAGAGGAGCCCCTGCTTACCAGGCCCCTGGTTTAACAAAACAGCACTAGAGTGAGTGCACTGGGCACAGTGGCTGACGCCTGTAACCCCAGCACGTTGGGAGGCCGAGGCAGGAGGACTGCTTGAGTCCAGGAGTTTGAGACCAGTCCTGACAACATAATCTCTATGCACACACAAAAATTAGCCAGGCATGGTGGCACGCACCTGTAGTCCCAGCTACTTGAGGGGCTGAGGTGGGAGGATCACTTGAGCCTGGACACTGTGTGCCACTGCAGTCAAAACTGGGCAACACAGCAAGACCTTGACTAAAAAAAAAAAAAACTCAAAAAACAAAAAAACAACTGTGGTACATCCCTACAGTACTATTCAGCAAGACCACATAAACATAAAACAAGAAAGACAGAATGACTGGTACATCCATCAACATGGATTCATCTCAAAAACATGATGCTGAGCAACGCCCCCCACAAAAAAAAAATAAATAATAAACAGACACAGAAGAGTACAAATTGTATAATTCTGTTTCTATGACCTTCTATAATGACAAAAGAGCAGGTTTGTGGTTGCCAATAATTCCAGGGGAGAATTCACTGCAAAGGGGCACAAGAAACAGGATGAAAATGTTCTGGGCCAGGCCGGGCGTGGTGGCTCACGCCTGTAATCCCAGCACTTTGGGAGGCTGAGCGGGCGGATCACAAGGTCAGGAGATTGAGACCATCCTGGCTAACATGGTGAAACCCCGTCTCTACTAAAAATATGAAAACAAAATTAGCCAGGTGTGTTGGCAGGAGCCTGTAGTCCCAGCTACTTGGGAGGCTGAGGCAGGAGAATGTCATGAACCCGGGAGGCGGAACTTGCAGTGAGCTGAGATCGCGCCACTGCACTCCAGCCTGTACGACAGTGAGACTCCGTCTCAAAAAATAAAAATAAAAAAAAAAATAAAAAAAGGAAAATGTTCTGGGCCGTGAATACGGTGGCAGTGTCACAGCTGTGGATAGCTGTCAACACTCACTGAACTGTCCACTCTAATTGAATGTAGCCTCTTGAGCATGATTTATATCTTCATAACGCTGGTTTTCTAAGCATGATAGCTGAAAGGATGGTGCCAGCCTCCACTCCCTTTCCCAGTGGGAACCATAGCCTTTCCCAAGACGTGCTTATGGTTTCCCAGGGGGTGCTCCTGTGGCTGGAAAAGAGGTTCCCAATCCAGACCCCAAGAGAGAGTTCTTGGATCTTGTGTAGGAAAGAACTCAAGGTAAGTCACGGAGCACAGTGAAAGAAGCGAGTTTACTGGAAACGACTGTTACACAGTGGGGCATCCTCGGGAAGAGGGAGGAGGAATGCACTGTCCTTTGCTAGTGTCGCTGCTTATAAGAAATTCTAAGGAGCCAGTGGCTCACGCCTGTAATTCCAACACTTTGGGAGGCCAAGGTGGGCGGATCACCTGAGGTCAAGAGTTCGAGACCAGCCTGACCAACATGGTGAAACCCCCTCTCTACTAAAATAAAAAATAAAATAAAAAAATTAGCCAGGCATTGTGGCGCATCCCTGTAATCCCAGCTACTTGTGAGGCTGAGGCAGGAGAATCGCTTGAACCCGCGAGGTGGAGGTAAGAAACTCTAAGGAGTGGTAATGAAACTTGTAATGTGCAGATGTGCTCACTAAAGGTGGGGCTATTGGTGTTACTGACGACCATTATTATTATTTTTGAGACAGAGT